TAAATACAGTATATGCTAAGACTTATTGTCTTGTTTTAAAAATTTCTATTTAAATAATACCATACAAAAAATGGGCGCCATGTTGTAAAAAAATTGCCATGGAACAGCAAAGTTTGTGGGTCCTGGAACAAGATCAAAGTAGTAGAGTAACACTGAATGGAGGATTGATTCCAATAATTTTTTATAATGTTGTGACTTTAGAGGCCGGTGCAACTTCTTGTCTGTTTTCCGAACACTGTTTTCAGGAAAATTGTGATTTTAAGAGCCCCGACAAGGAGCTTAAATTGTATGTAAATTAATACGGATTAATCCAAGCAACTCTTGGACATATATATCTACTTGTGTTCTGGAATCCAGACACTCAAGACAGCACCCCGGACATGCCTTCTTCGGGGAGTCCAAGGCACTGCTGTGAATGGCAATGATTCAATTTCAACAATTAATTCCTTCGTGATTTGAGCAGAGTCAGCTGTAGCTCAAATACAATGTTAATTAAGAGCTATGACTGTCTTCGTGTTTGTTATATGACATTGTTACATCTGTCGGAGATGCAGGATGGCTGGAACTTTCTATGTTGGAGATGTATTAGGTAAATGAAGCAGACATCAGTAGCATATAAAGCGTTTTTTTCCTTCGAAATTTGATGCTGAGGAAGTTACATGATTCACTCGGTTTGTCTTCATGTTTTCCAGTTTTTAACTACTAGAAGGAAGATCACAACGTAGTTGTGGTAAATTCTACCGGATATGATGAATGCAATCTCATCCCCAAACAAGGGAATTTATGACAGCGGCCAATGACAGAATAACTCTTAGATCTCCAGGAAACAAGTATTACATATGTGAGTGGAACTGTGATTATTCTGACCAAAAGCTGAATGTGTCTGTTTTGCAGAACCGATTGAAGCAGGTAAATAAGCCTTGGGGGAGATTATAATAATGTGAAGAATTGCCGAATTAACTTGAACTCTTCCAAATCTATGTATATAATATACTGTTTCTTTATTCTTCCTTTTAATATACATGATGATGATTTTTATAAGAATATCATATTTCTCAAGCTATAGATTATGTCCCAAAAGAGTAGAAGTAATTTGCACCAAGTCCCAGAATCACTATGGCTGACGCAACCGTATTAACTAACAGATTCCCATGTTGATTCAGACATAACTTGGCGGCATCACCTGAGTCGCCAGATTTTTCAGCACTCTTCTTCTCTTCAGATTTTGAAACAGCCATTTCCTTTGCTTTTGCATCCTTAGAATCATCGCTAAATATTTCATTAATCTTTTCCTTCTCCTTTTCTTCAGCTTTTGAAACAGCAATCTCCACTTTTGCATCCTTAGAATCATTGCCAGATATTTCATTAATATTTTCCTTCTGTGTTGAGTGTCGACACCAAATTTCGAGAGTGCTTTTGGTGAGCTCTTTGAGATCTTTTGAAGTGCTATCAATGCAATCTTTGAGACTTGTTTTGGAGCTCTTTGAATGCACCCAAAAAAAAAAAATAAATAAATAAATAAAACTGAATGAAAAATATAGAATCTCACTCGTGCTAGCATCTCATAAGGAATCAACTTTTAATATGCAAAGAAATTGTAATTTTAGTGAGCGTAAAAAGATCGACTATACATCTTCCCCAACATTTCATATATATACATATATTTTAATGTTTGACCACATTAAACAAATTAATCTTTAGCTTTTGCGGATGATCGAATTTTGTAGGTCACATAAGCCCCAACTGCTACAATCACCAAAACCGCCACACCCACATTAACGATCAAATGCCGATCTTCCGTCTTCTCCAATGCAGTCTTCATCATCGCCACAGCCTCGTCCTTCATTTTCTTAGCCTTTTCTCTAAAGCTAGTTTCCTCCTTCACCTTACCCTTTTCCCCAACATCACCTTTCTTTTCTGCACCCTTCCGAGCTGCAATTTCCCTCGCCGTTTCATCTGATTTCTTGATGCCCGGTATTTTGGACTCTGCACCCCTCTGTTCTTCAGTCTTCTTCATAGTTTCAGACGGGGGAGGGGTTTCATATTGTTTCTGGGGTTTGGATTCATATGGCGGTTTTGAAGGAGCGTCCTTATCCTTAGTTTGTGAATCCTCCTTCTCAGTGCTCTGCTTCGGAGGCACCGCTACTGGAGAGGGTACTTTTGGAGGAGGAGGAGGAAGCGCCGCTACTGGAGAGGGTTCTTTTGGAGGAGG